GCATCCGTGCATCAGGCACTAGACCCGGCTGTTCCTCCTCTACCTCATCAGCCTCCTCCAGACCTGGGGGCGGTTGACTCTCCATCTGAGGGCTGATGGACGGCTCAGGCTCCACCTCTGTCTCTCTCTCGGCCATCTCCATTCCCTCTTCCCCCTCGGAGCTCCCTGGTTGCCTGATGCTGACCCTGACTCCCACGCCGCCTCTTCTGATTCGGCGGCCGACAGGCCACAACCCTGGCCTGAGAGCCGAAGGGATCTGACGGAGCCCCAGTTAGGGGAGTGAGCAGCCCGGCCCCCTCGACCTGACCCAGGTCAGTTTTTTTTTTAAGAAAAGAGCGGACAGCCATTTGTCTGAGATTGTATAGCTTCTCCTGCTCGAACAGGGCTGGACTAGAAGACCTCCAAGGTCCCTTCCAGCTCCATTCTATTCTATTCCTGGTTTCCTCTCCTGGTTTCCCGCGGTTTTCCTTTCCTTTGTGCTTTGTGCTCTGATCAAGTCATCAACATTTCAGACGGCAAAGAGTCAAAGGGCCCCAGAGAGAAGAGAGGGGGAGAGAGAGAGGCCCTGGGAGGCCAAGGCCGTGCGAAGGCGGTGGAGCCACGGCTGAGAGACCTTCTCTTTGGGGAGGGGGGTGAGAGGGGCTTGGAAGGACCCTCGCTCTCACTCACAGCTGCCCCCAATCTCCCTGCAGAGTATGCGGAGAACATCGGAGATGGGAAGAACTCCGAATTCCTGGAGAGCGAGCAAAAACGGATCATGGAACTTCTGGAGAACTTCTGAGGGGCCCTTGAGGGGCTTCCAGGACCTTCTGCCGCTTGGGGTCCCAAAGAGACTTTCGGGAGAAAGGGGACCCTTCTCAGGTTTTGTGAGCGTGTGCGTGGGTGTCATTTTGAACGATTAAAGATTGGTCTGGTTTGTTATTTCCAAAGGGTCTCAACTCCTTCTTGCTTCCGGGGTGGAGAGGGCTTGGCCAGGAGGACTTTGAATGCCCCAGTCTCTCCCTTTCCAGGAAGGCTGGACGCCCCTCCAGCTGCGGGGTCCTTGGGAACCCCAGATCCGCCACCTGGCATCACCCCTTCCCTGTGACCCCCCCCCCCCCCACAAAACCTCCGGTCCCTTGTCCTCACCTCTCCTAAGCCATCTTTCTCCGTCTCAGCAACCACAAAAGAGCGGATGGAGGAGGGAGATCATAGCTCAGCGTGGCTCAACGGACACCGAGCAGAGACCTGCTTCTCGGCTACGTTCGTATCCTGGGTTGATGTTTTCTGTTTCCGCTGTGTGTTTCAACCTTCGCAGTGTGTATAATGATGATAATAATAAATAATAATAATAATAATAATAATAATAATAAGAAGAAGAAGAAGAAGAAGAAGAAGAAGAAGAAGAAGAAGAAGAGGAGGAGGAGGAGGAGGAGGAGGAGGAGGAGGAGGAAGTTTTGTTCTATCTTCACGCTTATTCGCTGCCCAAAGTCTTGGTGAGAGGGGCACCCTATGAATTGGATAAATAAGTAACTTTAATAACCCGGTGGGGTTATCAATCAATCTAATTTGGCCTTTCCTGATTTGCATCGGGGGAGGGGCCGGTGTCTCCAACCTTGGCAGCTTTTAAGACTGGTGGATTTCAACTCCCAGAATTCCCCAGCCAGAATTCTGGAAGATAAAACAGGAGGCAATTGGACTTTCTGGTGTTTTTTTTTTTTTTTTTTTTGAAGAGGTTTCACTTCTCATCCAAGGAGCTTCTTCAGCTCTGACTGGAGGGTGGGGAAGGGAAGGATTTATGCTCCTTGCAGACAGAACTGGTCATTTGCACCCTTTGAGAGGGTCGTTGGGGCCGCTTGGAAGTTTTATCTGTGTCCTCAGGGTCACCTGAGTGGTGCAAATGGGTGTGTGGAGCTTTCTTGGCTGCAGGATGTTTTTTCCTGCCCCCCCCCCCAAGAAGGCTCCACGCCCACATGCACCACTCAGGTTCCAACGGTCCGGTCAGAACTGAGGAAGCTTCTTGGATGGGAAGCGAAACGTCTTCAAACAAAGCAAAAAAGCAAGAAAGGTCCTGGGCCTGCCTCCTGAAAAAGAACCTTTGGGACAACTGTGGTCTGCGTGATGGAGAATCTCTGCAGACTCTTCATGATCCAATTTGGGGACGAACCTCTGATGGGGTGGAAGTAGGAATGGATTTCCAGAGGGGGAAAAAAATAGCAGACTTTAGGAACCAGGAACACGACTCGGGGGACCCAAAGGAGACAGGCCAACCTCCAAGTGGCCTCAGGGACCCTCTAAAAGGATGCAAATGACCAGCTCTGTCTTGCGAGGAGCGTGAATTCTTCCCCGCCGTCCAGTCACAGAGCAGAAGAAGCTTCCGGGATGAGAAGTGAAACGTCTTCGAAGAAAGTCCAGTCGCCTCCTGAAAAAGGCGCCTTCGGGACAGCCGTGACCCGGATGACGGAGGATCTCTGCCGACTTTCACCCAGTTTCCAGGTATGAGAAAACCGTCCTTCAGGGGGTGTTGCAAGCGGTGGCAACACAGATGTGCCCATGTGCTCAAAACCCTCCTCTTCTTGGGAAGGGGGGGGGAGGGAGATCTAAGGGACCCCCTCCCCAAAGCCTTAAGCCGGACCAAGCAGCCCCTCCCTCCCCTTTGGCGGACTGGTGACCGTCTTACCATTTGCAGCTGCGAAAAAAGGGCACCGGATGTTCACCTGCCCAACTGCAGGTTCACCCCTAAGGCCTCTGGGCGTCTCCAACCTGTGCCGTGAGTGTGCTGGGGGCCTGGGGGGGCAAGGGAAGAGAGACCCCCACCCCCGCCGGATGGGGCTGCGAAGAACCCTCTCCGGCACCCTCGAACGGCCCAGTGGGGCGGCACATACACGACATAAAAGGAAGGATGAGCCAGCCGTGCGCTGCAGTGGCCGGAAAAAGCCCGTGCAATTCCAGGCTGCATCAAGAGGGAGGCAGAGTCCAGGTCACGTGACGTGTTAATACAGCTTTGTAAGGCCTTGGGGTGAGGCGGCCCTTGGAAACGCTGCGTCCAGTTTTGGTGATGGAAAAAGGATGCGGAGACTCTAGAGAAAGTGCAGAGAAGAGCAACCAGGAGGATGAGGAGACTGAAGGCTCAAACAGGCACGGTGGCAGGAACTGGGCCTGGCTACTCTAGGGAAGAGAAGGACCAGGGGAGCGGAGAATAGAATAGAATTAGAGTAGAGTAGAGTAGAGTAGAGTAGAGTAGAATAGAATAGAATAGAATAGAATAGAATAGAATAGAATAGAATAGAATAGAATAGAATAGAATAGAATGGAGAAAGAATAGAGAAATAGAATAGAATGGAGGAATGGAATGGAATAGATAATAGGAATAGGAATATAGAATAGAATAGAAATGAATAGAATAGGAATAGAATAGAATAAGAGAATAGAATAGAATAGAATAGAATAGAAAATTTAGAATAGAATAGAGAAAGAATAGAATAGAGAAAGAATAGAATAGAATGGAGGAATTGAATGGAATGGAATAGATAATAGGAATATAGAATAGAATAGAAATGAATAGAATAGGAATAGAATAGGAATAGAATAGAATAAGAAATAGAATAGAATAGAAAATTTAGAATAGAGAAAGAATAGAATAGAATAGAATAGAATGGAGGAATGGAATGAAATAGATAATAGGAATATAGAATAGAACAGAATAGAACAGAACAGAATAGAATAGAATAGAATAACAGAATTGGAAGGGACCTTGGAGGTCTTCTAGTCCAACCCCCTGCCTAGGCAGGAAACCCTACACCACCTCAGACACTAATAGTTATCCAACATCTTCTTAAAACCTTCCAGTGTTGGAGCATCCACAACTTCTGGTGGCAAGTTGTTCCACTGATTAACTGTCCCAACTGTCAGGAAGTTCCTTCTCGGTTCTAAGTTGCTTCTCTCCTGACATAATAACAGTCTTCCAGTGTTTGAGGGGCTGCCCCAAGGAAGAAGATTTGGGGGTCAAATTATTCTCCAAAGCCCCTGAAGGCAGGACAAGAAACAACGGACGGAAACTAACCAAGGCGAGAAGCAACCAGGGATGAAGGAGAAACTTCCAGAACAGTGAGGACAATTAACCAGCCGACCTGCCAATTAACCAATTAATTTGCCTTCAGAAGGTGTGAATGCTCCAACACGGGAAGGTTTTTCAAAAGGGGTCGGATAACCCTTGGTGTCTGAAGTGGTGTAGCGTTTCCTGCCTAGGCAGGGGGTCGGACTAGAAGACCTCCAAGGTCCCTTCCACCCCTGCCACTCCCTTCTATTCCAAGGAGGCAGGTGTTGAATCGAGAGAGGGGCTTTTGAGGGCTTCCAGGGGTCTCGCTGGGGAAGCAGCCTTCAAAAATAGAAATATTCTTTTCTCCTGCTATCGATTTTCCGTCGGCTTCTGCAGGTCTCTTTCTTCCCCCTCCTTAATGGCCGTCTCCGGGTCAAGAAGCAAAAGTTAAAATCAATTTTTTTTCTCTCCCCCCCATTCCCCCCCCCTTCCTTCCTTTCAGAGTTGATTTCTGGCCAGCCGAAATCGTGACATTAAGTAAAAGTGTCAGGAGGCTAAGTAATCCCCACACAGCTGCTCCGAGGCAGCGCGGAAGGGATGGCAGGAAGGCCACCGGGGCAAATTCCTCCGTTTTAAGCAGAGAAACGGGGGTGCATTTAGCAGCAGAAAATGAGGGGGGGGGAATGGGGGTGTCCCTTGGTGGATGATGCAGTTTCCCCTTAATTCCTGGTTGCTTCTCTCCTCGGTGAGTGTCCACCCGTTGCTTCTTGTCCTGCCTTCTGGGGCTTTGGAGAATAGCTTGACTGCCTCTTCTTTGGGGCAGCCCCTGAGATATTGAAACGCTGCTATCGTGTCATTCCTAGACCTTCTTTTCATCAAACTAGTTTTATCCACTTTCTGCAACCGTCCGTCGTATGTTTTAGCCTCCAGTCCCTTCATCATCCTGGTTGCTCTTCTCTGCACTCTTTCTAGACTCTCCACTTCTTTTTTACATCGTGGTGACCAAAACTGGACGCAAATAGTCCAAGTGTGACCTCACCAAGGCCTTATAATGTGGTATTAACCCTTCACTTGTGACCTTGAATTTTCAATTTCATTGCACGGCTGTTGTGCATTGACAATAAACGATTGATTGATTGATTGACTCTTGTCTCTCTGTTGATGCAGCTTAGAACTGTGTTGGCTTTTGGGGCAGCGGCTGCACACAGCTGGCTCCTATTTAAATGGTGGTCCGCTAGGACTCCAATATCCGACCTGCCATTGAGCCAGGTACCCACCTATGCTGTACCTGTGCGGTGGGCAGGGGGTGTGGCCTAAAAAGATGGACAGGGCAGTTCCCCTGCCAGGAAAAAACAAAAATAGATACTGACCCAGAACCCCCCAAATCGGAGAAAACATTTCTACACACACACACACACACACACACACAAGCTGCTTTGTTGACCCCGGGATGGGCGTCCTCGAGGAAAGGAATTGCCAGCTTTGTCTCCGCGCTGAAATCCATTCGAAGGTTTAGCCTAATTCCGTCCGTATGAAACACAGCCCGAAGTTCCTTCTTGCAGAGAAGGTG